GCAAGCTGGGGGACGTGAGGAGTGCTAAAGGAATGAGTCCAACAGGACTCCCCTGCCCGCTGGCTGAGGGATGGACAACAGCACTGCCCGGGTCCCCTTTAGCAGGGCCAGAAAGTTCAGGATGGAGAAGATGGGGGGAAACAACATCACCCTCATTCCATCACCCCCAAGCACTGAGGGAGCACCCACAGCCCACAAGAGGCAGAGGTTTAGGGGGTTTATGCTCAGCACTTCCCTGGATGGAAGAGACAAGGCAGGAGCGGCTCCAGGGCAGGAACTGGGGGAAAACCCCCTAGAGGAGAGCTGAAGGTGTCCGGAAGGATGTGGAGACCTCCTTCAGCTCTCCACTTCCACCCGGAGGCAAACCCCTCAGCAGCACCCAGCTGCACCGCAGCTGGAGATCTCCATTTAACCCCCTAATTCCTGTGATTCTAACTCTTGATGTGCTGGCCCCAGATCATTGATGTAACCCCCCTCAGTGTCCCCTGGGGATACCGACCCCAGATCAAGGCCGGGAAAGCAATGTCTGCAAGCACAGCAACAGAGGAGCCGAGAGACACTGGGGGGGCCAGGGAGGGGTGACCCCCATCACCCATGGATAGGGCACCTCGCTCCGTGCTGCAGCTTGGAGGGCACTCTGTATGCCTCTGTGTATATACCTGTATATCTGCCTGTAGCTGTCCGAATTGAAGTGATGCCAGGTCACCCCCTGTGTGTGATGGAGCTTGGGATCCGCCAGGTCCCCAGCACAGCTGGGACCTCACCAAGTGCTTCAGCCAATATTTCCAGCTCCAGCCCTTGTGATTTTGGGTTTTCGGTGTCATTTCTGCCCAGGAACTCTGCTTTCTACAGTAAGAAATCAATAAAACCTGAGCTAGCGAGCACCTTCCAGCTCTCCTTTGACCCTGGGGCACTGGGAATGAGCCGGGCGCCCCGCAGGGTGGTGTTTTGGGGGTGATGGGAGAGGAGCTACCTCTCGATTCATGCTTTGGATTGGGAAAACCCAGCCCCAGGACAGCCGGAGCCCCTCAAGCCGAGGTTATTTTGCAAGCCCCGGGATCCAGGAGCCCTTGCACCACCCCACGGGCACTGGAGGGGCGATGCAGTTGTATTCTCATGGCCCAGCAGCTCCAGCTGCGGCTCCGATGACGTTCGTAACAAGGGGTTAGTGCGGATGCAGCAGGAGCGGTGCTGGGGTCGGTAACGCTGCTCCTCAGTCATTGGGAGTTTAAGGTATTTGCTCTGTACCAGGCTACACGCAGGGACCGTCTCCACAGCCCAGCACCACGTTTGCTCTTACAGCAAGGGTCCTTTTCCAATGAATCCACCCGAGCACCCCAGGCTCCATCCCTACACGTGTGATGGACTCGGAAGCTGCGTGCTCCTTTGTCTGCTCGGCAGGTTTAGGCTGACTTTGTACCTGCATTATTATGCACATGGAAATGAAGGCAGGCGGCTTTCCTGGTGAGAGCTCCCAGCAGCCGGGGCTGGGTTCAGGCTCTCAGCACTGAAGAGCCGCTGCTTGGCTCGGAACTCCTCATGGAAAAGGGAAAACCCAACACCAGGAATCATTTCTAGGCCTAAATTCTGCCACATGGGAGCGGGGGGAGCATGCGGAGGGGGGGTGTTGGTGTCCCCAGGATCCTGCTCCCCAAGGGATGGCCTGAGAAGTTTTCCCTATTTTTGGCCTTTTGTAAGATACTGGCCCAGATTCCCAGCCTAATGACAGGAATTTGGATGGGGCTTGGAGCCAGCTGCTCCAGTGGAAGGGGTCCCTGCCCGTGGTTGGAGCTGGAGGAGCTTTAAGGTCCCTTCCAACCCAAACCGGGCTGGGATTTTACAGCTATAAACTCAGCATCCCCAGACCCTCTGGAAGATGCAATTCCCTCCCAGCAGATCCCACAGGAGCAGTGCAGAGGTAGATTTCCTTTGCATCCCCACTCCCACCACACAAAACGCTTTCATTCCAGAGACAACAGAGCCTCCCAACACCAGGGCTCATCCTCTGTAGATGCTAAAACCCCAAATCCCACATTCCCATCTTTTGTCTCTAAATTAAAAGCCTTTTAGGCACTTCCAATAGCAACAGATGGGGACCAGGAATGCGGGATTGGAGCCGCTGATCAAAGACCCCCCTGGCAATGACAAAGGGTCTGGTGATGGAGAACCTCAGCTGTGCACCACGGTCCGCCCCCAACCCTACCACAGGACCCCAATCCCTCCTCCTCAGCCCCAAAACACCCCCACCTCGCTCTGCTGGTGCAAAACCTCATTAATGAGACGCTTCCCTTTCCTCAATTAAGCTGTTTTCCTTCAGCCACCCTCTCCCCCCCGTGCGGGGGCTCATCCTTCCCCCAATTCCCAGCGACTTCCCATTGAAGTGTCACTCCAGCTCCAAGACAATGACAGCTGATTCATCAGCTCTCAAGAGTTTCAACCTTATTGTTCTCCCCAGCCCCTTTTTTTCCTCTTCTTTCCTGAAAATACCAACTCCCAAGGGAACGTTTTCCCCTTCCCAGGAGCAGCCCCTCAAGGATGGGTGAATGGGAACGATCCCTGCAGGGGATGGAGGAGGGACCCGCATCAGCTCCTGGTAGGGTCCAGCACTGGGGTGACCACGCAGGATGGTACCACCAGCTCCATCCATCCTTACCTGGGGGATGGATGCAAAAGGGATGAGGAGCAGTGGGAGTGCTGGGATGGGGGCTCCTGGCTCACAGCAGCTCATCAGCGTTGCCCCAGGGCCGGAGGAGTCCCACATCCCCCTTGATCAAGTCTCTCTCTGCGTTTTTTAGCTATAAATAGGTTGGTGAGGTTCAAAGACACATGAAAAGCAGCAGAACTCTGCAAAGCCAACTGCATTGCAGTGACATTGATGGGAAAAGGGTGGCAAAGCAACCCAGGGTGGGGTTTTTCCCCTGGAAGGGATAGGAAAACACCAGTGCTGGTTTTGGAAACAAGACATTCCCAGCTTGTTGCTGGGAATCAGGCCCAGGACAAGCAACTTCCCCATCAGGTAGCCAGCACCAGCAGGTCACTTCTGGTAGCAGAGCATCAAACAGAGGGTGATGGTCCCTGGAGAGCAGCATTAGCCGTGAGATTAAGTGACGGCAAAGTCCAGGCTCCATCCTTGGCATTAAAACACTTCCCATGGGCCCACACCCCAACTTAACGCTTACATGGGAAAAGAAGAGAGCCCTTTGGAAGCCAGCACTGCAGCCACCAAACACAAACCCGGCTTTTTGTGGTGGGAGAGGTGGTGCTGGAAGCCCAGAGACACCGGGGATGGCCCTCAAACAGGGAGGGTGATGGGGACAAGCACAGAACTACACAATCAACCAGGCTGGATTAAGCTCATCCAGTCCAACCCTTACCCTTACCCCAGCACTGCCCAGGCCACCCCTGCCCCATGGCACTGAGGCCTCGTCTCCACGGGCTGTGAACACTTGCAGTGGTGGTGACTGCAGCCCTGCCCTGGGCAGCCTCTTCCAATACCCGAGCACCCTCTGGGGCAGGAATTGTTCCTCAGCTCCATCTAAACCTGCCCTGGGGCAGCTTGAGGCCGTTTCCTCTTGTCCCATCCCTTGTTCCTTGGGAGCAGAGCCCAGCCCCTCCTGGCTCCATCCTCCTCTCAGGCAGTTGTAGGGAGCCATCAGGGCCCCCCTGAGCCTTCTCTTCTCCAGACTGAACCCCCCAGGTCCCTCAGCCCTTCCCCATCACACTTGTGCTCCAGGCCCTGCACCAGCTCCATTGCCCTTCTCTGGCCCCGCTCCAGCTCCTCAGTGTCTCCCCAGAGCTGAACACAGCGTTCAAGGTGCAGCCTCACCAGTGCCCAGCGCAGGGGGACAATCCCTGCCCTGGTCCCGCAGGCGGGGACCATCCCCTCTCCCAGGGCAGCGATCCGGATCCCCATCACCTTCTCCTGCTGCCATCCCGCGGCCGTGTCCCACAACTGCACACCCGTGCTCAGCACTGGCTCAGGATGCGACCACCGCAGCACCCACAGGGCGGCCCTAGCACCCCTCCAAGGCACAGGGAGCCCCAGGTTTATCAAAACTGTTTATTCCAAACGTTAAAAGATTACATTTTCTTTTCCCCTCTCTTCCTCAATCAACCAAAATACATTTGCTTTAAAAAACCCAACTTATTCTGAAGCACTGGACAAGCCCCGGCTGCACACCCCACACGCCCCCCCCCAGCTTCCTCCTATTGCTATAACTTAACACATAAAACCGAAACTCTGCAGAGCCCTCTTCTCAGTCCAGGTACCTGGAATGCAGCGTGGAAAGAGAAGATGGGGCAGGCCAGGCACAGGCAGCGAGACCAGCTGGATGGAGACTAGAGCCCTGCTGTTTCAAGCGACTCCATGCATAGCTGTGCTTTGGCTGTCTTCTCAGCAAGGCCCTAACAGCAAATCCAGCTCCTTCCTCAGCAGAGGACAGAGGAAAACAAGTTAAAACTAACCAAATCCCCACCCGTAGGATGGATTTTGTTGGGTTTCCAAAGGGAATGGGAAAGAGTGGGACTGCAAACAGCAGCGCTGGGGGCGGCTGCTCCAGGCAGCAGGGAGAAGGGGAACGTGCTCCCAGCCTCGCTGCCTGGGGTTGGCTCAGCTGTGTCAGTGGCGATGGGTGGGAGGCAGGAGTCCCCCTTCCCTTCTCCAGCAGGCACGGTGTACAGTGTGGATTGGGCATTGTCCGGCAGCATTCCCCCCACAGGCTCCCAGACACCCGGCAGCAAGTCCCCACCAAGCACTGGTGTGAGATGAGAGCTCCCCTGGGCAAGGAGCTCCCCCCAGACTGAGCCCAGAGGGGTTCAGCGGGTGCCAACAGACAAATCCGTGCTGGAGAGGTAAAAGATGTTTAGGTTATGGGGCTGGAACATGGGGGCCTTGGAAAGCCTGATGCTCAAATCCTGCTGAGTAGTGAAGAACAAGGCCCTCAGCTTTGCCAGGCCAGGAAATAACTTCAAACACCAGAGAACAACAACTTGGGAAACCCATCCAGCCACAGCACTGAGATTGATTTAGGACCAAGCCAACCTGGGGGAGCTGACAGAGCACCGGGCACCGTGGGAAGACAAGACACACGCAGGGAGAAACCACGAGCACCCCTGGAGAGCCCTGCTCCAGCCACGGGGTCTGCTCCCAGCTCCGGGAGCCTCCTGCCCTCCCCCTGCCAGTGATGGGACACCAGAGCTGGAAACCAGTCACCCGTCCCAGGTGGAAGGCGGGGGGGGTGTGCAGGTCCTGTCATCCCACTGGGCTCAGCTGAGCTGTCGCTTCATCAACTCTGCTCCTTGTCCTTGACCAGCAGCACAGTGTGCTGCCCACCACTGGACACGGCCAGCACCGTGCGGTTCTCCAGCTGCTTGCCCACCATCTCCACAGGGCTCCAGGCGTCCTCCTCCTCCCCTGTGCCCAGCTGGTAGTTGGTGCCCATGCCCCAGGCGAACGCTCGGCCTGCAAGGGAGGTGATGCAAGTTTTGACTGATGGGAAGGGACCAAGCAGCCAAACCCAAGGGGACTCCAGACCCTGAGCTCAGTGATGGGTGCCAGAGATACAGCAGGGAGAAGAGAAGCAGCACCTGCAACTCGGAGGTGTTTGATCACACACAGCCAAGGCAAGGGGGGCAGGAAGGGTGGATGAAGGGCAGCGCTCCCAAGCACTCACCGTCACTGCTGACAGCGTAGCCAACCGAAGCTCCGCAGGCCACAGAGGAGATGCTGGGCAGCTCAGGGATGACTGTGGGTGTGCTCTTCTCCTCTGCCCCAGCCCCGAGGCCCAGGCGGCCGTACTCTGCCCTGCCCAGGCTGTAGGCTTTCCCTGGAGGACAACACACGCATAGGAGGTGAGAAAGCAGCACGCAGCAGGACACAGCCCCTCAGTGTGAGACATGGAGGAGCATCACTGCTCCCAACCACAACCTGGCTCCCAACCAGGAGGTGCAGGGTGGCACAGAGACCCTTGAGCCTCCCAGAATCAAGGGGGTGAACGCACGCCTGGACACACTATTGAGCCTGGGAGAGCAGAGCTCACAAGAGACTCCCGGTTTCTTTCACCCTGCCCTTTGCTGCACGTTCACTGCCCTGCTGCTGCCCTGAACACAGGACTTGGGAGGGCTCCAGCACGTCACTGTCACCCCAACACCTTCTCAGCGGGGACGAGGGGCACCTCGATGGGCTCCCCCCAGCCTGCCCCTCCCGCCAGCACTCACCCTCTGAGTCCACACACACTGTGTGGTGCTGCCCTCCAGAGAACCCGACCCAGGACTTGGTGGAGTTCTTGAAGCACGTCAGGTTCTGTGGGGAGAAGCAGGGCTCGGTGCCCTGGGTGCCTGCAGGGTGGGACACATGAACCCAGGCACGTCAGATCCACAGGCATGGGCAGCTCAGGCCAGGCACCAGCACGGAGCCATCCACCCCACCAGAGACGAACACAGCCCCCACATCAATGCTCAACCCCACTGGCTGCCGGGACTGGGACCTAAACCCAAAGCTCTGCAGGGTGACCCCCCCAACCACAATTTCCCAGCTCTGGTGTGCCCAGTGGGTACTTGGTGTTCAGGACCCAGCAGTGTCCCCCCGCCCCAGCCCAGGGCAGCAAGGACTGGGAAGACCACATCCAGACCAAAGCAGGCAGATCTGGAGGGATGGAAGCAAAGCTCACCAAGCTGATGGTAGTTAGAGAGGCCGAATCCATAGATGTGTCCCTCCTCTGTGATGGCAAAAGTGAAATAAGCCCCACAAAAGGCATCCTGGAAACGCAATTTGCCTCTGTTGCCTTTGCCTCTGACAGGGACGCGCTCGGGGATCAGCAACCGCTCTGAGGGCAGAAGACACAGTGTCACAGGAGGACTAATGATTTACACCTTCTTCCTCCCACTCAAATCCAGCTCATTGAACTCAATCCACACAGGAGGCCTTGAGTGAGAAGGTTTTCCTTTAAGGGGAAGGGACTGGGGCTCTTTGCTCCTCTGCAAAGTGCAGAGCTGGGACCAAAGGATGCAGCACTGGGTGCCACCAAGCACCAAAGTAACTCACGTAGACCTCTCCTTCCTCCTCGGTTGGCAAAGAGCTCTGGCACTCTCCCCAGCTGGCCCTGCTCACCACAGCCACACGTGAAGAGGTCACCATCCACCGTCAGCATCACTAGGTGGTCATTCCCTGGGAAGAGACAAGGGTGAGTGCTTTGACACTGCAGGGCCACAAGTCAGGGCACTCTTGTAAGGCACCTTACATCAGATTGGGTCAAATATTAACAACACGCTCAAGGGTGGAGGAGACACAATGTCCATTCTCTCTCAAGAGCCAGAGAAGACAAACAGCCAAGAGGGTGGAAAAGGACATGGAACTTCTGTATCTTCACCTTCTTCTAAGGGTTGGCAAGGCCTCGTGCACCAGCCCGACCCACACACACACCAGGACCTTGCTCACCTGAGACAATTTTAATGACGGGTGCATTGATCTGGAGCAGCACAGGGATGGAGCTGGTCTTCATGGGCTCCAGCAAGCCGATCACCCCGTTGTTATCCTGGGTGGAGACACAGATTGCAGGGACGTGAGTCACGGAAGCAGCGACCACGGGCAGAGCTTGCAGCGTGCAAGGCATCAACGTACCCGGAAGGAGCCCCAGACAAAAACCCTGCCGTCCTCCGTCAGCGCAGCCGTGTGACTGTCCCCTGCAGACACCTGCACCACCTTCTCCTGCAGCTCCACCAGCCCCGGCGTGGTCTCGGACCCTTCTGCCGAGGTGTCTCGCCCGAGGGCACCCTCATCATTGCAGCCAAAGGTGTAGATCTGCAGATAGAGAGCGAGCTGCTCAGGACAGCTCCCAGAGGGGCATGAGGGGACAGAGACCGACCAGGCTGAGTTTCCTTTGGAGCCCCACAAACGCTGTGATCCGCAGCGTGAAGACCACGTTCATCCCCAGAGCCGGAGTGAGCAACGCATCCGGGCAGAGCAGGATGTGTCCTGCTCCCGAACACAGCCCAGAGCTCGCAGGGAAGCGCGGCTCAGCCCCCGAGCCCACGCTGCACTCACCTTCCCTGTCTGGCTGAGGCACACCGTGTGCATGCCCCCCGCTTCCGCCTGCAGGATCATCTCCGGCAGGGACACCAGGGCTGGTTTCTTCCTCTCCATCACATCCTCTCCCAGGCCCAGCTGGCCAACATCGCCCTGCCCCAGCGTCAGCACCAGCCCGGGCTGCGTGCGGTGGGACGGGTGGCACACTGCGGGGACAGAAACGCTGCAGATAGCACACGGAATGGGGAAAACAGCCCTGAAATCACAGCTGGGAGCGGGGAGGGAGAACTCCCGGGGCTTCCCCTCACCTTTAATCCGCTTCCCCCCGGGAGACTCCTGGTCTGGCGCCAGGCTCTTCTTGCCGGTGCGCTTCCTCGGCATGCTGCTGGGATCTGAGCACAGGCACGCTGCTGGGGGCACCCCCTTCATCCCCCCGCCCTGCGGCCCAGCACCGACCCCTGCTCCCCACCGGGACAAGGGAGGAGGGAGCCGGGCCCGAGCCCGGGCCCGCCGCAGCCGTTTGAATCGCCCGCGCCGCCACACGTGCGGCCGCGCAGGCCCGCGCTGGGCCCCCCGCTCCCGCCCGCCCTGCCCGCAGCACCGAGAGCGGCCCCGGGGCTCGGCCCGGCCGGACCCCCCCGCTCCCGCCGCCGCCTCCTCGCCGCCGCCGCCCCCTCCCCGCTCCAGCTCCGGCCCCCGCCGCGCTCCCACCTCCGCTCCGCCGCCACCGGAGCCAACCGACCCCGCACTGCGCATGCGCGGAACGGCGCGGAGCAGGGCACAGCGCGCTCTGTCGGCAGGGAGGACTCGGGACGGGGAGGGGAGGGGAGGGGAGGGAAGGGGAAGGGAAGGGAAGGGGAAGGGGAAGGGGAAGGGAAGGGGAAGGGGAAGGGGAAGGGAAGGGGAAGGGGAAGGGGAAGGGAAGGGAAGGGAAGGGAAGGGAAGGGAAGGGAAGGGAAGGGAAGGGAAGGGAAGGGAAGGGAAGGGAAGGGAAGGGAAGGGAAGGGGAAGGGGAGGGGAGGGGAAGGGAAGGGAAGGGAAGGGGAGGGGAGGGGAGGGGAGGGGAGGGGAGGGAAGGGAAGGGAAGGGGAGGGGAGGGGAGGGGAGGGAAGGGAAGGGAAGGGAAGGGGAGGGGAGGGGAGGGGAGGGGAGGGGAGGGGAGGGGAGGGGAAGGGGAAGGGGAGGGAAGGGGAAGGGGAGGGGAGGGGAGGGGAGGGGAGGGGAAGGGGAAGGGAAGGGAAGGGGAAGGGGAGGGGAGGGGAAGGGGAAGGGGAAGGGAAGGGGAAGGGAAGGGGAAGGGGAAGGGAAGGGAAGGGGAGGGGAGGGGAGGGGAGGGGAGGGGAGGGGAGGGGAAGGGGAAGGGGAAGGGAAGGGAAGGGGAAGGGGAGGGGAAGGGGAAGGGGAAGGGAAGGGGAAGGGAAGGGGAAGGGGAAGGGAAGGGAAGGGAAGGGAAGGGAAGGGAAGGGAAGGGGAAGGGGAAGGGAAGGGGAAGGGGAAGGGGAAGGGGAAGGGGAAGGGAAGGGAAGGGGAAGGGGAAGGGAAGGGAAGGGAAGGGGAAGGGAAGGGGAAGGGGAAGGGGAAGGGGAAGGGAAGGGAAGGGGAAGGGGAAGGGGAAGGGGAAGGGAAGGGAAAGGAAGGGAAGGGGGAAGGGAGGGGAAGGGAAGGGGAAGGGAACGGCAGGGAGGCTGTGAGGGAAGGGGAAGGGAAGGGGAAGGGTTAGGACATGCAGTGAGGGATGGGGGGCACTAACAGGGAAAGGTGAAGGCTTTAATGCAGACATTAACTTCCCAGTGCCCGCTCCCGGCCGTCCCATAGCATGGCGTGTCCAGCCCCTGCTCCCACAGCTGAGGAGCCAGGACAGAAGATGTTGCTGGGGCTCTTCTACCTGCGGTGATCTCCAACACCTTTTTCATCCTCCCCAGCCGTGTTGTTGGGCTTGCAGGCTTCATCTCCATGGTGGTGCCTTAAATTTGAGTTAGGCTAAGGTTAGGGTTCACAGATCCACAAGCTCCAGGGACAGCCATTGTGCTGGGAAAGCAGGCCTCATTTCTATGCTAGCAGCTTAAAGGAAAGCTGGTGCTGGGTATGTTCTACACGTGGTGAGCTCGCAATGGTGCCACCAGCATTGCTCTCACTCCTCCCTTTCCCACCTAAACCTGAAACTCCATCTGCGCACTGCCTCTCTGGTACCCGCTCCTGGGCATCCTGCAGCACAGCTCACAGAGCGTGGATGTGCAGCCCTTGCTCCTACAGTTGAAGAGCCAGGAGGGAAAGCTGCCGCTGGGCATCTTCTACCTGTGGTGAGCTCCGTAATGATGCCACAAGCATTGCTCTCACTCCTCATTTTGATGCTTAAATCTCCTTCTGTGTACTGCCTGTAATGTCTTTTGCCTGCCCTTGGGCGTCCTGGAGCACAGCTCCCAGAGTGCAAACATCTGACCCCTGCTCCCACAGCTGAAGAGCCAGGAGGGAGAGCTGGTGCTGGGCCTCTTGTACACGCAGTGATCTCCGCAATGGTGTCAGCATTGCTGTTGCTCCTCCTTTACCCACCTAAAACTAAACCTCCATCTCTGTACTGCCTTTCCTCTCTGGTGCCTGCTATCGGGTGTCGTGGAGCACACCTCACGGAGTTTAAATGTCCAGCCTCTGCTCCCTCAGCCAAAACCCCAGGACATAAAGCTGGTGCTTAGCATTACCTACACAGAGTGAGCTCTGGAACAGTGCCCCACCAACGTGGCAATCCACCCTTGCTTTGCCACTCAGAAGCCCATCCTTCTGCTGTCTCAGTGGTGCCTGCTTTTGGGCTACCTGGAATATGGATGTAGTGCTGGGGAAAATGCTGCCGGTCTTGCTGTATTGAAGAATCATTTTGTCTCTTTGACCCTTTCTGTGTTACAGACGTCAGACCAACAAGCAAACATGCCTCATCCTGCCCCTTTTATCCCAGCTGGTGGTTCAGCGCACCCCTGCCCCAGGGCACTGAGGGAGGGGCTGTGGGTGTTGACTGGGGTATGTAAGGCACAGTGTTTCCCTGTGAGCTCATTCAGGTCTATGGGGTTTAGCCAGGTCACCTACCTGGTGTGTGTATTGTAATTTTTGACTATTGTGCTGTTGTGCTTTGTTATTTGCTGACATGGAATCAGCTGGCTGAATACCTTCAAGACATGTCAAGCTTTACCAATGTATGTGTTAATAAATAATTCTGCAAGGTTTGCTTTTCTAAGATATTATATTTATAGGCGCTCTTTAGCTTTCTTAATATGGCTTATTAGGACATTCCATTCTATTTATTATCAGGTGCTGAATGTATTTTTCACTGAAAGCAGAGTTTTGAGGTGATTTTCTACTGCTTTTGTTCTGTACTGGACTATTTATTCACTGTTAAGAGAACCAAAGCAGAACAGTGACAAAAAGCTGGAACCAGGAGTCAGTTGTCAGGTGTTGGTAGTTTGGTGAAGGAAGAAGCATGCCTGGTTGGTTGTGCTCATCACCTACACACAGGGATCCCGTGAACAGCCCCACCAAGCTGGCAATTGGTCTGTGTTTTCATAGAATCATAGAATGGTTTGGGTTGGAAAGGACCTTAAGATCATCCAGTTCCAACCCCCTGCATGGGCAGGGACACCTCACACTAAACCAGGTCACCCAAGGCCTCATCCAACCCTGTTCCAACACTGCCAGGGATGGAGCATTCACAACCTCCCTGGGCAACCCATTCCAGTGCCTCACCACCCTCACAGGAAAGAATTTCCTCCTTAGATCCAATCTAAACTTCCCCTGTTTAAGTTTTAACCCGTTACCCCTTGTCCTGTCACTACAGTCCCTAATGAAGAGTCCCTCCCCAGCATCCCTATAGCCCCCTTCAGACACTGGAAGCTGCTCTGAGGTCTCCATACAGCTTCTCTTCTCCAGGCAGAACAGCCCCAACTTTCTCAGCCTGTCTCCATACAGGAGGTGCTCCAGCCCCTGAGCATCCTCGTGGCCTCCTCTGGACTTGTTCCAACAGTTCCATGTCCTTTTTATGCTGAGGACACCAGAACTGCACACAATGCTCCAGGTGAGGTCTCACAAGAGCAGAGCAGAGGGGCAGGATCACCTCCTTCGCCCTGCTGGTCACGCTCCTTTGGATGCAGCCCAGGACACGGTTGCTTTCTGGGCTGTGAGCGCACACTGAAGCCGGCTCATGTTCATTTTCTCATCCACCAACACCCCCAAGTCCCTCTCCTTGGGCTGCTCTGAATCTCTTCTCTGCCCAACCCGTAGCTGTGCCTGGGATTGCTCCGACCCAGGTGTAGGACCTTGCCCTTGTCATGGTTAAACCCCATGAGGTTGGCATCAGCCCCCCTCACAAGCGTGTCGAGGTCCCTCTGGATGGCATTCCTTCCCTCCAGGGTATCAACCGAACCACACAGCTCGGTGTCATAGGCAAACTTGCTGAGGGCGCGCTCAATCCCACTGTCCATGGCAGCCACAAAGATGTTGAACAAGACCGGTCCCAACACTGATCCCTGAGGGACACCAGTGGTTACTGGTCTCCAGCCGGACATTGAGCCATTGACCACAACTCTTGGTGTGCGGCCATCCAGCCAGCTCTTTATCCACCGAGTGGTCCATCCATCAAATTGATGTCTCTCCAGTTTAGAGACAAGGATGTCGTGTGGGACAGTGTCGAACGCTTTGCACAAGTCCAGGTAGATGCCATCAACTGCCCTACCCCTGTCCATCAGTTCTGTAGCCCCATCATAGAAGGCCACCAAATTGGTCAGGCAGGATTTCCCCCTAGTGAAGCCATGCTGGCTGTCACCAAGCACCTTGTTGTTTTTCATGTGCCTTAGCATGCCTTCCAGGAGAATCTGCTCCAAGATTTTGCCAGGCTCAGGGGTGAGACTGACTGCTCTGTAATTCCCCGGGTCATCCATTTTCCCCTTCTTGAAAATGGGGGTTATATTTCCCTTTTTCCAGTCTTCGGGAATTTCACCTGACTGCCAGGATTTCTCAAATATGATGGCCAGTGGCTTAGAAACTTAATTACGCCAGCTAAAACTCTCTGTGCTTCTTCCCTGTAAACCATAGGCAGGTGTCCTGGAGCACAGCTCATGGAGTGCAAACGCCCAGGCCCTGCTCCTAGGCCCGAGGTGGCAGCACAGGAAGTTGCTGCTGGTTAGCCCTTGCAACTGAACACCCCCAGACCGGTGCCATCGACAAGGCAGCTCACCCTAGCTTAAACCACCACAGCCCCCTAAAGCCCCGTTTCTACACCGCGCTTGTGTTGATGCTCCCAAGTGTCCTGGAGCACACAGCGCAGAGCGCTCCCAGAGCCGAGGAGCCAGGGCAGGAGCTGCCGCTGGGCATCACCTGCACGTGGAGACCTCCGCAACGGTGCCACCGGCAC